GACCAAGTATGTGGTTGATTTTAGAGAAGGTTTCATGAGATGGTGAGAAAAAGGTATATTCTTTTGTGTTTGGGGGAATATCCTATAGATGTCTGTTAATCCCATTTGGGTCATAATTAGTTTCCCTTATTTCTCTGTTAAGTTTCTGTCTAGCAGACCTGTTCATTGATGAGAATGGGTGCTGAAGTTTCCTACTATTAGTGTGTGGAGTTTGATGTGTGATTTAAGCTTCAGTAATGTTTCTTTTACATATGTGGGTGTCCTTGTATTGGGGGCATGGATGTTCAGAATTGAGACTTCATCTTGATGGATTTTTCCTATGATGAATATGGAATGTCCTTCTCCATCTCTTTTGATTAATTTTAGTTTGAAGTCTATTTTGTTAGATATTAGGATAACTACACCAGCTTCCTTCTTAGGTTCATTTGATTGGAAAGCTTTCCTTCCAATCCTTTACCCTGAGGTAGTGTCTTTGTAGTTGAGATGTTTCTGACGTGTGGCCATACCACCCTGAACATGCCTGATCTTGTCTGATCTTGGAAACTAAGCAGGGTTGGGCCTGGTTAGTACTTGGATGGGAGATGTTTCTTGTATGCAGCAGAAGGATGGATTCTGTTTTAGCACCCATTCTGTTAGTCTGATTAAAGGCATGGGACACCACCTCCCAGCTCTTCTATGATTTTGTTGAATATGTCAGTAACATGAAGTAGAGCCTGTAACTCCTTTCTCTATGTTCACTGAGGCACATGCATACGTAGAAAGTAGAGAAAATGATGACCTGGTGTTGGTGGCACGCACCTTTTATCCTAGGGCTTGGGAGGCAGAGGCAGGAGAATCTCTGTGAGTTCCAGCCTGATCTACACAGCAAGTTCCAGGACGGCCAGTGATGTTGCACAGAGAAACCCTATCTCAAAAAACCAGTAAAAAAAAAAAAAAAAAAAAAAAAAAAGTGGAGAAAACGAACTAGAGAAATCAAAGCAACCGGTGTTAGTGGATGTGCATTTCAATTTTTATTGTAATTTTTTACTTTTTGAGATTATAATTACATGATTTCCCACTCTCCTAATTACCCCTAAACCCTCCCTTACTGTCTCTCGGTGTATCTCAAATGCATGGACATCTTATCGTTACATGCACACTTTTGCTTATATGTCTACTTTGTTTTTGAAGCAAGGATCTTCAGCTGAAGCTGAAGCTTGCCCACTGGTCAGACTGACTACCCAGACTCCCTAGGGCCGTCTCAGCTTCCCAGTGTTTGCATCACACACCTGTGCTCATGTGCGCCTTGTCTTCCTCTTTTTATTTGTTTGGTTTTCTAAACAGGGGTTTATTTTTCCCCCCAGCCCTGGCTGTCCTGGAACTTGCTCTGTAGACCAGGCTGGCTTCAATCTTACAGAGATCCACATGGATCTGACTCCCAAGTGCAGAAGACAAGGACACCTCTGTCCACCTCATATCTGACTTTTTATTTGAGTATCAGGAATCTAAACACAAGACATTATGCTTGCAAAGCATATTACTCGCTAAATTATTTTCCCAACTACTGTGTATTCATTTTTTATAAGTTGCTTAATGGTCCACAACACACATATGCCAAAAATTTATCCTATTGTCTGTTACAAGCAGTTTTCCCACCAGCCTGGCCCCACAGCTGTGCCAGCCCCTAATAACACACAAAGACGCTGTATTCGATATAAACCTGTTGGCCTGTTACTAGTGTTTCTTATTGTCTAGCTGTGTCTGAAATATTAACCCATTTCTATTAATCTAAGTACTTCTACATGATCTTACCCGAGAGAGGATTAGGACCTCTGTTCTCTTAGTCCTACATGTTGAATCTCCTCCTACCTTTCCCTGAAATCTCCTTGTCTCCTAGTCCCGCCTATCTTCCTTTCCTATTTGCCAGCAGTGCTTTATTCATTAACCAATATGAGGGGCATATTTGCAGAATGACTTCTCCCATCAATTGTCCTTAAGAGTTAACCTGAAACTCATAAACAAATTATTGAGCAGTTTGGTTGCCTATTATTTTACATTGATTTTGTGATTTTTCTCACTTAAAATTGTATTTTTCATTTTATGTGTATGAATGTTTTGTCGGCATATATGTGCACCATGTACATGCAGTGTCAGTAGAGGCCAGAAGAGGGTATCAGAGCCCCAGGAACTGGAGTTATAAATAGCTGTGAACCCTTGTATAGGATTCTGGGAAGGAAGGAGAAAGCATTTTATTTAGAGGTTCAGGTAGCATCTGTTGAAGATTACCTTCTCTCCTGTTGAACTGTAATGGCACTCTTGTCAAACGATTGGCCTACCAAAAACATGTGGATTCATTTCCAGACTCTAACCCATTAGTTTATAGTTTTGCTAGGACATACTCCCATCTTGATTATTATATCTTTGTAGTCTGTTTTAGAATTAAAAAGGGTATGTACTCCTATTTGGTTCTTTTTCAAGATAATTTTGCTATTTTAATTCTCTTGCATTTGTGTAAAAATTTTAGGATTTCCTCAACAGTAAACAGCAATAAAATAAGTGAGGATTTTGATGTTATCTTACTAATTTTTCACCCATCTTTTATATAACTTTGACATCAACTACGACTACACCTTCAGTTCCTAGCCAGCCTTAGCTTTATCCCAGAAGACCTTATCTCAAAGGACAGAGGAGAGAGAAACAGGGAGGAGAGCAGAGCAGTTTAGCAGGGAGAGGCTAATTTAATCATCTAAACAACTCTGAAAGGGATAAGGCTGCCAGATGTTTGACAGCTGGAGGCAGCTAAACAGACCAAGAAAGGCCATGGCAGGAAGGACAGAGAAGAGTGAAGGCAGAGAGCTGAGACAGGAGGGGGTATAAAAAAATCAAAAGGCTGCCAGGCCTATAGAAACTGCAAGCCCTAAGCACTGGAAGAGTCCAGGGAGTCAAGAGTTTAAGGCCAAGGATTTCAGTTATGAAGTCAAAAGATGTAACACTGGCCATATATGCCTATAACCCCAGAACTGTATCCACAGATAGATGGGACATGACAGCTTGCTGGCAAGCCACAATGACAAACTTCAGCTTCAGTGAGAGACCCCGACTCAAGGGAATAAAGTGGAGAGAGACATAGCAGGACATCTGACATCCTCCTCTGACCTCCACAGATGTGCACAGGCACTCATACAGGTGAACCCATGCTCCCACATGTACACACAATCCTTTAAAACAGGTAGTGCTATTTTCATATTTACTAGCAGCAAAAATAGGCTTATTGATATGAAATAGTTAACATAAACCACATGACTGACAAGGATTCTGGATCTAGTCAGGTCTTTCCATCGGTGACACTATATTAATGATTTGTGAATTTATTTCATTTGTTAACTAACATTTCTAGAATACTAGGAAAAAGTAACCTAAAAAGAAATTCTATGCACTGAGGGAGACCCTACAATATATAATGTGTGCTACATCCATACAGAGGGGCACTTATCTCAAATTCAGATGTCAATGGAAGATGTTCTAGACAATGTCTGCAGTGAGACTTTCCTTTCCTTTTTCCTGGAGACAGGTCTCTGTATGTAGCCCAAGCTGGCCTTGAATTTGTGATACCTCAGCCTACCAAGTACTAAGATTACAGGTTTGTCCCACCGTGTCTGGTTGTGTTTACTCTTAAAAGATGGTTAAAGGAGGCAAGACAGAAATTGTTTTAAGAAAAGCCAAATGCATGTGCAAAAACAAGGTGAAGTTTAGGGTGATGGAGGAAGTGATAAAAGGTGAGCAGAAAATGTAAAGCCTTCAATACTGTGCTAATGATTTGGATTCTGTCTTTGTAGAAAAATAACTGGCTTATGTCTTAGCACACTATAATACTGTTCCCTGGCAACTCAATATTATCACTGGATATATTCTGAAACACTGTCTAGTGAACTAACTTAGAACTCAAATCCAGTTCTATTTTCTGAGCACATTCATTTCCATTCATTTCTATTTCATTGCCCACCCCCACACACACACACACACTTGTCTCTATCTTCATTTGGATTTTCCCAAAATCATTGAGAAGATCATCCCTTCCTCGTCTAGAATCCAAATTATTTTTTTCGGAAAGACTCACTTCTCCCAGGTTACTTTTTCTGAAGGAGGTAACCGTCAAAAGAAACGCAATTCAAATTTTGCTACAGTTATCATCCACCTGGAGGTAAATTTCTAAAAACACTGGCTTGGGAAAACCCAACCACAAGAACTAAGTCTCAAAACAGAAAGAAAGTAGAGAATTATTTTGCTCACAATTAACTTCTAGGACTAGTCTGTGCTTCCTATGGCAAAAAGAATAAAGCATTTGAAGCTGGAACCAGAACGAAGTCTTAATTCTGATGGACTGCAAGTAAAAAAACTACATTCTCCTGAGCTCATTTCTCAACTGAAGAAACAGACCTGGTTCTCCCACATCGCCCCTGCAGGTTCAATGATAATAATATTAATAATAATGAAACGTTTTAAAGTAGTTTGAATGGGTCGGCGATAGCAAGAGAATTTAACTACATGCTGAGTGCGACTCACACATATTCCTAAATTTTCACATTAGCTTCCGCACGAAAGTAATTCCACTTAAAGCCTTTCCAAGAAGCAGAAGAAAAACAAAGCAAACTAAGCAGGGATAGCGGGCTCTTGAATGGGCGGGAAAGACACAGCTGCGCCGAACCATTCCAGTCATTGGCTCATCTGCTGTTGTTCCCAGACTCCCGCCTCCGGTGCTGCGCAATGTTTTGATTGGCTTTTCTCCTCTCTCATTGGTTCATTCTTCTGTTCATCAGACTCCGCGCCAGGAGAGAGGCGGAGAGCCGGTCCATGTTGGGGTTGGAGGACCCGCCTCCCAGTGCCGTGTGCAAAAACAAACAGCCGTTAGGGAGGCGGTGCCGGGTGGGCGGAGTCCTGGCTAGAAGGGGGCGTCCAATTGGCCCGCCGCCGAGGTTCAAATGAACAACGTGAGCGGTTATTGGTGGCGGCGGTGCGAGGCGGGCCCGGGGCATTGTCCGACTCCGGCAGCGGGGGTCCGGCTGCGAGAGCGGCGGCGCGGGGCGGCATTGAGCGTCGCGCGGCCAAGACCATGGTGAGTGCAGGATCGCTCGGGGAGTCGGCTCTCCGAAGCCCCGGGCGGCGCCTCCACCTGTGGAGCCGGGAGTGGGCGGTGTCGCGCGGCCGAGCGGGAGCGCCCGCTGGGGCTGGACTCCGCCTGGGGGCCGCGCCTGACGCGGGAGGCAGAGGCAGGGGCGGGTTCTGAGTCGCACGGAGGAGGTCCGGCTGCCGCAGCACAAGTTCGGTGTCTTTGGCTCTGGGTTACGTAATGCCCCTGCTGAGAATCGGGGCAGTTCTGATCCTGCCCACCAGTACCGCTCGGTGGGTTCGCGGTTTGCACCGGCTTGAGACGGTCGCCGGGGTTATTCTCCGACCTCTTTGCAACAGGACTTTATTTACGTGACTTAAAGTATCTTTTTATTCCGCAGTTCCGATCTAGTTGAAAGCAGATTTTAAAAAACAAAAGTGAATAAAACTTTAGCCCCATTTAAATTTCAGGGGAAAGAGAAAGAACTAAAGCAACAGAAACCTATGCTTTGCGTCCAGATTGTTAAAAGGGAATGACGCTCTCATTTCGGAACTGTATTTATGTCGGTATTCCTGTTTTAACTATCCTTTCACTGATACAGAAATAATATGCCTTCCCAGAAAGGAATCTCACCACACACTTAAGAGATTTATTAAGGAAAAGCTCTTTAATAACGCTTGTCCGGCCGGGCTAACACCCAAGCAAGAGCCGGCCTTCAACAGATGCTCTTACTAATTTATGTACATTTTAGGCTTGTGCGTTCCTCACTGTCATCCTGAAATCTCTTTTCGGGTCCCAGGTTACACTTCGAGCAATTAAAACAGAGACAGGAGATTGCAAGTCTGGCCACTTAGGCAGATAGGAGATTTACACAGCAAAATTACTACATATTGCCAGTATTATTGTAAGTATGCCAGTGTTGTTCTTTCTCAAATAGTTATTACCCGGGGTCATATTGCCCACCTGACAGAATTATGTTTGTCCTGGTAAGAGCACAGGGGAATAAATGACAGAGTAGGGCTTACTGATGGTTAGGACCCTGTGCATCCTGCCTTGAACTGCCAGCTAGATTTTCTTTGGGTGAGGGAATCTGGGCCTAACTGCTGGTCATAGATCAGTGCTGTCTCCTTTGCCATTGAAATGGAGTCTAATTAGCTGGAGCAGTCCTGGTGAATAAACTACTATCTACTAGCATCCCAAGTTTCCCTTAACCCTAACAGGCCTGGTCAGCACACTACTTATCTTTGGGGGTATTTTGGAGGAAGTGCTCTAGTTAAATTTCATTTGTATCTGTATCTCAGAATTACTACTTTAAGTTTCATCTACATCTTCACAGGACAGGTACCTTCAACGGGTGCTGTTAAAGTCAACCCCAGGCTATCATTTCTCATACAGCAAATAATGTAATTTGTCTTATGTTGATGACATGTGAGGTGTTTAGTAGATGACTATAAACAGATTAGCCAAATGGAAAATAGCCAAGTTTGGAGTGTAAAAGTCTCAAACTTCAAACTAGAAAAAGTCTGTCAGCTGTTGTCATCATATGGTGATTGTAGAAATTACTCTGACAAGTAGCATGGGTTACTTGTTTGTAAAAATTAATTTGCTCAAGCAGTTGATTTTCATGATCATTATTTTTTCTTTCTCAAATTCTAGTGATAGGTTTTCAACATTCACCATAAGTACATAAGCTTTAACTTAAGATTAAAAAGTACTGGAGGTATTGATTGTCCTTGGTAAAGATTTTTTTTAATTGACAGGAAGTAAAATTGTGTCTATTGGAGTAATAGCAAAGTATCCAGTTTTCAAGTTTTTCAGGAGTGAAAATATGTTTCAGTATGCTCCTTTCCCATGAATTAACAGTTTGGTTTTTCGAGACAGGGTTTCTCTGTGTAGCTCTGTAGACCAGGTTGGCCTTGAACTCACAGAGATCTGCCTGCCTCTGCCTCCTGAATGGTGGGATTAAAGGTGTGTACCACCACTGCCCAGCTAAAATGTTTTTATTCTTAAAAATGCTGAGCCTTTTGCTCCTGGTCTTTGCTCACAGCAGCTAGCAACAGCAATGCCAAAGCATAGGCGCTCCACAGTCTCGAAATTCCCTTCCTTAAATTCACCTAGGCACTTTAAATCAGCTTCCCTCAAAGTTTCAGGACACGTACAAAACATAGACTAATAATATGAATGGCCCTTAGTCCATCCCAATAGTCTTTTTTTCCATCTGAATCCCTGCATCATCTTTGTTGTGTATTTTTAAATGTGCTTTATTCTGAGCGCCACCAGAATTGCTGTTTGAATTCTGTTTATAACTTTCCAGGGCTTCTGTAGCCCACAATTCCAAACTTCCACATTCCTCCTGTAAATCAGTTCCAGAAGCCTAAGAGCCACACATGTCAAGTTTATTCAACAGCCCCTCTCCTGGTACTAAATTTCTCTATTACTTTCCTCATCACCATGACCAGATATTTGACAGGTTAAAAAAAAGGAAAGACTACTGGGCTGTGGTGGATCCCCATGAGTTTGAGGCCAACCTGGCCTATATCGAGATTTCCAGCAGGATAGCTAGGATTACACAGAGAAACCTGTCTCTTAAAAAAACAAAACAAAAAAAACCCTTTGGCTCACGTTTTCCGATGATTTGGTTGCTGCACTTGGGCCCACGCTCTTGTGCAAAGCATCATTATGGTAATAAGAGTATGTTTGTTTCCCGGCCGGCCTGGAACAGGCAGTTATAATAAATACACTCAGTGACCAACAGCCTTCATTTAAGTCCATTTCATGTGACTGGTTCTGTTTGTTTGGCTCCTGTAAATAGTGTTGCTGTGAACGTAGCTGGACATGTATCCATTTGAGTCTTGGCTTGTTTGGGGTCTATAGCTAGAAATGGAATTGTTGGATCCTGAGGCACATCGTTTTATTGTTTGTTTTGGTTAGCTTAATTTTTTATAATATGGTTACATTTTTTTCCCAGAAAAGCTAAATTCTCAATTTTCTGTGGAAATAATGTATGCTGATCTTTTAGAAAAGTTAATTGTTTCCGAAATGCATGAAAGCTGACATGATCAATCACAAGTTTGCAAGATTTATAGATAGCTTAACATTTGAATATTAGTGATGGGTTTTTTTAATGCGTTAATAAAAGGTAATAATCATATATATTTACAGTGAGGTAGGAAATCACCTAGATATCCTAAGTTTTTAACTTTTTACTAGAAATTTTTACCTAAAATAAAAATTTTGTTTTGTGGCCTTTTTTGCATTAACATTTTCCAACTCCATATTGTATCCATCTAGGCTGGAGGCAAAGCTGGGAAAGACAGTGGGAAGGCCAAGGCTAAGGCAGTGTCCCGCTCACAGAGAGCTGGGCTGCAGGTAATGAATGAATCCATTCTGTCATAGTTCGTTGTTTTCTTTGCCTTTGTAATTCGTAACCCACAGGTGTTTTATTAATTACAGAGATGTCCTTTTATGATGGTAGACCTTGAATGTGAGATTAACTGGTTAAGACTTAAATTATAAAGTAAGCCATTAATTTGTATAAGAGAACAGGATGCCTTAACAAATTTGGTGATCTTTTTTTTTTTTTTCCCCCTCCTATTAGTATCTGTTCTTGGACCTGGAAAGCTGAATTAGCTGTTTTAAGAATGTGTGTTGCAGAGACAGGTGAATCTCTGTGAGTTCGAGGCCAGCCTGGTCTATAAGAGCTAGTTCCAGGACAGGCTCCAAAGCTTCACAGAGAAACCTCGTCTCGAAAATGCCAAAGGAAGAGGGAGGGAGGGAGGAATGTTTGTTGCTCTTGTAGAACACCTGAGTTTGGTTCCCAGGACCCATATCAGAAGGGCCACAACCACCTGTAACCTGCTCCAGGGGAATTCACACATCTCATACCCACACCGACACATACATACTTAAAAATAAAATAAATATTTTTTGAAAATACCTGTTCTTTCAGGATTATGACTGTGTTCTCATTCTTATAAACCTCAAGTGAGTATGCTCTTGTTTTCCTTTTGAGAATGTTTATAAGTAGTTCATTGACTTTCAGTATAGGGTAGAACTAGAGACTAATACTGGGTTATTGCACTAGTCTCTGGATATTTCCCAAAAGACCTCTGTTGTGGACTGAGAAGTATGCTCTAAACTCGTGTAAGTGTTTTCATACTTCACGTGTGTGAATTTTTACAACATTAACCTACAAACTCAGATTTTTCTGGGTGAAAAAAATTATTCCCTGTCCATAAGGAATCCTTTAAAAGGGGGTTGGAGAAGCCAGGCGGTGGTGGCACCACCTTTTAATTCTAGCATTTCGGAGGCAGAGGCATCGGATCTCTGAGTTTGAGGCCAGCCTGATCTACAAATCAAGTTCCAGGACAGCCAGAGCTGTTATACAGAGAGACCCTGTTTCAAAAAGGGGGATGAGTGGGGGCTGGCGTGGGGGCTCAGTGGTTAAGAACATTTGCTGTTCTAGAGAACCAGATTTGACTCCCAGAACCATCTCCACTTTCACGGGAATTACGCCCTCTTCTGGCCTCTTTGGGCACCAGGCACATGTGATGAGCAGGTATCAATGCAGGCAGAACACTCAAACACATGCAAATAAAGGTATATATGTGGTTTTTTGTGTGTTAGATTTTTTTGGTTTTTATTGTTGTTGTTTTTCAAGATTAAGTTTCTCTGTGTAGCCCTGGCTATCCTGAAATTCACTCTATAGACCAGGCTGGTCTCAAACTCAGTGTCCTGATTCTGCCTCCCAAGTGCTGGGGTTAAAGGTACCACCACCACCACCACCACTGCTGCTTGGCTAAAAATAAATGCATCATCTTTTAATAATAATATAATAGTAATAATGGAACCCAGCCTTATCCATTCTAGGCAAGTACAGGCCAAAAAACTTTTTTTTTTTTTCTTAAGATTTACTTATTTTTATTTTGTGTATGGGTGTTTTGCCTGCATGCATGTCAGTGTAGCATGTATGTACAGGTACCTGAGGAGGCCAGAAGAGGGAGTGAGAGATCTGGAACTGGATCTACGCATATGCCTTATGGCTGTTGGGAACTAAACTCAGGTCCTCTGCAAGAGCAGCACGTGCTCTTAGCCACCAAGCCATCCATCCTTCCAGCCCCATGAAACACTTTTTAAAGGGGAAATGAGGAACCCACAGGATTGCTCGATGGAAAGAGCCTTACAACCTGTCCTGAGTTCAATTCTCAGGACCTACATAGTGGAGGGAGGCAACCAACTCCAGTCTGTTCTCATATTCATGTGTGTGTTTGGCAAGCATGTGCACACACATAAATAAATAATTTTTAAGAGGAAAACTGGAAGTCCGTACCGTGTAATGGTGTGTCTGTCTGTCTGTCTGTCGTGTTTGTTCACAGCTTCCCTTTGTAGGCATATTACCTCCTGCCTTAGATATGCACCACCACAACAGCAAAATCAAATTTTTTATGGCAATGTTAAAACTTTCAGCAAGTGGATAACATAATCTATATGACAAAGAAGTAAAACAGGTACTTAAATTCATTGTATTTTCTTTGTTTGTTTTTGGAGGTATTTGTTTGAGACAGGGTTTCTCTATGTAGCCCTGGCTGTCTGGAACTCCGTCTATAGACCAGGCTGGCCTCAAACTCCTAGAGATCCACTTGCCTCTGCATTCTGAGTGCTGGGATTAAAGGTGTGCATCACCATTGCCTGTTTGCATTTCTATTTTAATTTTATGTATATGATTATTGTGCCTGCATGTATTTACATCATGTATATGTCCAAAGAAGGCATTGGAACCCCAGAACTGGAGTGAGCTGCCATGTGTCTGCTGGGAACCAAACCCAGATCCTCTGCAAGGACAGTGGTGTACTCTTAACTGCTGAGCCATCTTCTACAGTCTTGGAACTTAGCTTTAAAGCATATATTGTGTGTTAGAACATTACTTAAATTCTCAGATCTCAGTGGAGATTGTTGCACTGGTTTAAGAAATAAACGAAGGGGGCGGGGGAGAAAAGGAAGGGCTGGTGAGATGGACCAACATATAAAGGCATTTCCCTCCAAATACCTCAGGGCCCAAATTATGGAGGAATGTTCAACTTCTGCAAGTTGTCCTCTGCTCTGACAAGTAAGTAGGAGCCTAGAGGGATGGCTCAGCAATTATAATGCATGTGCTTCCCTCCTAAAGGACTAAAGAGGCTCCCTACACTCATTTAGACATCTATAACTTCAGCTCCTGGGGATTCAGTGCCCTCTTCTGGCCTCCCTGACTACACAAATGAATGTAAAAAAAAAAAATATTTTAAAGTAAGATGAATATTGATTTAAGAGGATTAAAACACACTTGTAGTGGGGTGGTTGGTGGTGGCACATGCCTTTAATCCTAGCACTTGGAAGGCAGGGCTGGTGGATCTCTGAGCTGGACGCTAACCTGTTCTACACAAAATTTTCAAGACAGCCAAAACTAAACAAATTCTCCCTAAATAAATGGATAAATAAGTTCATGTGGGGCTTGGAGAGAAAACTCAGTTCAGTAGTTAAAATGTTCTTCCAAAGAACATGGGTTCAATTCTCTCAATTCTCAGCATCCAACAGCAGCTACAATTGTAGCAGGGGATTAGGCATGCAAAGATGCACACCACACGCAGACACACACACAGGGCAAAATGCCTGTACACAGAAAATTTCAAAAATAAAATGAGCATTTCTTTGTTTTAAATATAATTCATGTAGCTGAGGAAATCTGGTGTTACCTGTGATACCAGCTACTTAAGAGACTGAGGCAGTAGGATTACAAATTCAAGGCCAGTCTGGGCTACATAGTGTGTTCAAGTCTAGCCTGGAAAGTTAAGTAAGCTTGTGATCCCAGCACTCATGAAGCAGAAGCAGAAAGATTTCTGCAAGGTGGAGGCCAACCCACAATCCGTATAGCAAGATCAAAAAAAAAAATAAAGGAGGGAGGGTTGTCACTTAGCAGAAAAGCACTTGCCCAGCATCTTGTGAGACCCTAGGTTCAGTCTCTAGCAATACCAAAAAGTAGTAGAAGCAGCAGGTGGAAAGGAGCATAGAGTTGAAAGGCAGCCCCTTCTCCAAGACTTGGAACTTTCTAATCTAAAAAAGATAGAAATTGTAGTATGAGTACATTGTAAGATTAAATGTAATGCTAGTTACTGCAGAGTTCACTGAAATGCATATTTAAATATCTAAAAGTGGAAACAAGTCTATTTTTCTAAAGATTGTTGTACACAGACTTAAATCTTTTAAGATCATTTATGTAAAATTAATTATATGACTTCGTTTCCTAATATAAGAGAATAAAAAACACAAGAACACTGATGGTCCCTTTCAAAATATTTTTTTCCTTGTTTTGTTTAGGGGCCAGTGTTTGTAGGCAGAGTGTTGTAACCCAGGTTATCTTCATGTTTGTGATCCTAATGTCTTCTCTCCCCAGTGTTAGATTCCTGTTGTATGCCAGCCACTAAGATGTTCTAAGAGGGATGCTTGGTCCGGTATATATACCCAAAGCAAAGCATCACTGGATGCTTGCCTTTACTCCCAGCTACTCAGGAGTTAGAGGCAACAGAATCAGAAGGTCCAGGGCAACCTGAGAAATGTAGCAAGACCCTGTCTTGTTTTGTTTTTCAAGATGTGATTTCTCTGTGTAGCCCTGGCTGGCCTCAAACTCAGGAATCTGGCTGCCTCTGCCTCCCAAGTGCTAAGATCAAAGGTGTGCACCACCATGCCCGGCTAAGGGATTGGTTTTTTTAACTATCAGGTGACCTTTTGAAATTGAGGAAAGGACAGAGTTAGGGACAGAAGAGAATGGTGGAGCTTCAAAGTCATGAGACTTAAGTGAAAGAATCGATTAGATACAAGTGTGATTATTGGGCTGTATTGAACGTGTAATTGATAACAGCATGGTATAATTCTCATTTTACAGTAAAACTGTTGGGCAAAAAAGTTCAAGGTTTGAGGCCCTCAGACTGTTAATTACCTAGTAAATTTGGCCTGTAATATCATTAAGCCTCTGCAGTCCCACTCGGGCAGATATTGTTAAAACTCTGCAGTGCTTCCCAACAAGACATCTCTTTTTCAGTTTCCTGTGGGCCGAATCCACAGACACTTGAAGACTCGCACCACAAGCCATGGACGGGTGGGTGCCACTGCTGCTGTGTACAGTGCGGCAATTCTGGAGTACCTCACAGCCGAGGTTTGTGGAGAATGTCGTATGTGCGGATGCAAGAGGCTGCTCTACACCCAGTGGCTGGCACTGCCGTGGAGAATTTTTTTAATTAATTATTTATTTATTTGTATTGTATGTGCATTAGTGTTTTCGCCTGTGTGTATGTCTGTGTGAGGGTATTGGATCTCCTGGAACAGGAGCCATAGATAGTTGTGAGTTGCCATGTGGGTGCTGAGAATTGAACCTGGGTCCTCTGGAGGAACAACCAGTGCTCCCAATCGCTGAGCCATCTCTCCAGCTCTTTCTCCTCCCAACCCCCAAAAATACTTCTAAAGAATTATTGGTTCCCCTCCTCCTCCCCCCCCCCCAAAGACAGGGTTTCTCTGTATAACAGCCCTAATTGTCCCGGAACTAGATCTGTAGACTAGGCTGACCTCGGCCTCACAGGGCGCTGAGATTAAAGGTGTGCACCAGCGCTGCCTGGCCACTTTTGATCCTTCTTGTTTCCACCTCCCAAATGCTCAGGCCTGCAGAAGTAGACCAGCACACTGGCCGCTTTCTTCTTGTCTTTGCTTTTCTGAGACAGCAGCCTGTGCTGGCCTGGAACTTGCTCTGTGTTCTGCTTAGTGTGGGGAAGTTGTACGTTTTTGAGTTGGCCTGGTAGAGACAGACGACTGGCTGATTGGAATTCCTTGTAGACTAGGCCATCTTACCAAGTTACCACTCTGCCAATTTTAAAGAGTCCTGGTGTGCTTAGGTTTTGTTTGGTTGTTTACATTTAAGTGAGGGCCAGCAAACCACTTTTGTGGTTTTTTGAGATAAGGTTTCTCTGTATTTCTTTGGAGCCAGTCCTGGAAGCAGCTCTGTAGACCAGGCTGGCCTCGAACTCACAGAGATCTGCCTGCCTCTGCCTCCTGAATGCTGGAACTAAAAATGTATGCCACCACATTTTTAAGTGACACGATAAGTACTATTCTGATTAAATGAACTATGAGATATCTATGTTAGTCATTTGGCAGTGTTTGAGGCTCCTCGCCTAGCATACATGAAGCTCTGGGATTGTTTCCCAGCACCCCATAAACTGGGGATAGTGTAATCCTAACACTTAAGAGGTGGAGGCAGGAGAATCAGGAACTCAAGTCATCTTGGCTGCACAGTGAATTTAAAGCCATCCAGGGGTACATGAAACCCTTTCTCAAAACAAAAAAAAAACAAAACAAAACACAAATGGGGTGGCAATATTCATGAAATTAGAGCATGACTTGTTAGTTTATGAAGATTTCTAATAGAATGATACTACAGCCAACTGGACTGTGGTGGCACATGCCTATAATCCCACCACTTGGGAGGCAGGCAGATCTCTGAGTTCTAGGACAGCCTGGTCTACAAAGTGAGTTCCAAGATAGCCAGGAATATTACACAGAGAAACCCTTTCTGGAAAAGCCAAAAAAAAAAAAAAAAGAGGGGGAGGGAATGATATAGGCATCATGTGGTTGTAATCCTAGTACTCAGGAGGTGAGATAGGAAGATGGTGAGTTTGAGGCCAGCCTGAGCTGCCTAGAGAGCCCCTGCCCCAAAAACAACAAACAAAAAACAGACTGTAAAAGTCAAGTGCCTTCTGATACAATAAGTAAAGAGTTAGCAGTCCTTCCCTCCTGGGTACAAATGAGCTTCACATTTCAATTAGAGAAATTACTTTGGCAAGACTTCTTAATACGAGGATCCTGGATCCTCTAGCCCCCTGTCTTCCCCATCTCTAGCCCTCCTCTGGAAAATGCATAAAAAGGCATGAAATGCTAGCAACTATATTCCAAACCAGGCAAGTAATTAACTATCAAGCAAGTCAGTTGATAGAGACAACCAAGCAGAGCAGAAGACTCTTCATGGGGAAGATGTGATAAGAAACAAAGCTTAGAGATGTGACTGTAGTGTGCGTTAGTTATCATTGCTGTCATTTCATTAACCTCTTCAGGGGTTAACTGAACTATGGGTAGTTTGTTTGAGCTTTGCTATGTTATGACCCAAAAGTTTCATATGGGCATTTTGATGTTGAGACACTTTCTTCTTTGATCCTATCCCAGGTTTTTAGTTCACTACAGGCCCTTGGAAGATACACATTTTTATGTACTAGATCTGTAGCACAGAATTATAGCTCACACCATTAGAGGTCTTTCTACATTCCTATTTTCAAACATCAGTTGCATTTTCTTTATGGTACTTGGGATCGAACTCAAGACCTTATGAGTTAGGGAACCACTCTGTACTGATCTAATCCCTAGTCCTTTGGGGGTTTTGTGTTGCTGTGTTATTTTATGTGTTTCCTACTTGTATGTCTGCTTGCCAGAAGAGGATGTCAGGAGTACTCTGGGTCTGGAGTTAAGAATGGTTGTGAACTGCCATGTGGGGGCTGGGAATTGAACCAGGACCCTGTGGAAGAGCAGCTAGTGCTCCTAGCCACTGGGACACCTCTCCATCATGTCCTTTATTTCTTTGAGGCAGTCTTGTAGGCAGCCCCAGCTAGCATTAGATGTGTAGACCTATCTCAGCCCCCAAATGACTTGAAGTTACATGTTTCACTCACAGCTAGCCAGAATTAGACTTCCTCCAAAACAGCTCAGTGAGAGGATAGGTACATAAGCTTGTATGAGGCTCTATGTGTTTTTTATGCTTCTAAGTTACCTCCCCCCTTATTCTTAGACCCAGCCTCATTGTTAGTTCAATGCCATCGTCACTCTGTCTTAAGTATCATGTCTTATATGTATCAAAACTCAAAATGAACCATGAATTCTAGGTTGCAAAAGGGGTTTTGTTTTCACCTGTCTTTTATATCTTTGTCCACCAGTACAACAAAAACACAGGTGCTACACAAATACATTTTTTAAAGAAGTCAGCATGTTCTAGGTATTTAAATTTTGAGTTCTGACCAGCCAGTGGTGACTCACTCCTTTAATCCCAGCACTCAGGAGGCAGAGGCAGGTGGATCCGAGTTCCAGACTACCCTGGTCTATAGAACTACAGGCTCCTAACCCTGAGTTCCAGGATAGCCAGAGCTATACAGAGAAATCCTGTCTCGAAATAATAATAATAATAACAATAATATATATATGCGGAGTTTTGTTATTTAGTAGAGGTAAAATTGTGATCCCTAAGCCAAGAGTTTATGTCAGGGGTAATCATTTTTCAGGCTTGGCTTTCACTAGAACCTCTTGAAGAGCTTTCCAAACATACTGATGCAGGGCTCACCCTAGACCATCAAGAGGCCTGAGGTAAGGCGGCAATGGGAGGTTTTGAAGTTTGCCAATATTTTATTCAGGTATATGATATACTCTGCTCTGCTTAAATGAGGATGCTCTGTAGCTGTTTTTGTTACTTCTAACAAAGGTATAGCAGTTCCAGTAGAGCTGATGCAGGTAAAGATACATAACACATGCAGTGTTAGCTGGACAAACTGCTACACTGTAATACCAAAAGCCCAGAAACTGAGAGAAGCAGCAATGCATTGTGGCTGACCGGAACTTTGACCTCTTGAAATAGGGCTCGGGATACAACCTAGTTGGTAGTCTGGCATATCTGAAGCCCTGAGTTCAGTCTCCAGAGTCACATAAATTGGGAGTGTAATTCTTGCTCTTGGAGATGGAGACAGGAGGGATTAGAAGTTCTTTGTCAGCTGGGCAGGTACCTGCCTTTAATCCCAGCACTCTGGAGGCAGAGGCAGGTAGATCTCTGTGAGTTCAAGACCAGCATAGTCTACAGAGTTGAGTTCCAGGACAGCCAGGACTACATAGAGAAACCATGTCTGGGGTGGGGGTTGCATGTTTCTCTATGTTTGTACAAGGAGGGGAGTCAGTGGGAGGTATTGGGTGTCGTAAAAACATACAGTGATAGGGAAAAACTATCACAGGAACAGAGAAGTTGTTCTCTACATTTGGAAACCTACCATTCCCTTAATTGTGTTATTTTATGGATGCTTTATAGGTGCTGGAGTTGGCAGGTAATGCTTCCAAGGATCTCAAAGTAAAGCGCATCACTCCACGTCACTTGCAGCTTGCAATCCGAGGTGATGAGGAGTTGGATTCACTTATCAAAGCTACCATAGCCGGGGGCGGTATGTATTGCTAAGCCTCAGTTATTTCTCAATAATCATTCAGATTGGTGATCCTGTGCATTTGAGTGGTTGACTGGGAACCACATGACTTGAACTCCACAAGTGTTAAGTATACTATAGTTCTGTTGTTGCTAACGGGGTGAACCTGGGTCCTCATAAAGGTTAAACAACTAAAACTGAGTCACAACTCAGGGCCTGCCAGCCTCTTTTCATAGGGATCTGAGTAAATGCCTGTTCTATTGCCATGTGTAGTGCCATTTTATCTTAGCTCGTTCTTTAAATTTTTCCATGCTTTAAGCCTCAGGTTTAAGAGATTTCCCATACATTTTTAACTATGCTAGAGAAATAACATGATCCTGAGAAACTGCATAATACGATAGACTTGGCAGGACCAAAATGGTTGTGTATTGAGGATCTGTAAAGTTCTGCGGTCAGTTACTTCAAGAAACTTGTGATGTCTGTGGTTAGCAACAGTTACTATTCCTGGGCAAGGCTCTCAGGCTCCTGTGGGTTTAGTAAGATCCAAATGTGAAAAGGGACTTAAACTAATTCCATCCTTTGTATAACTGCCTATTTACTTTAGCACTAAAGCATAAAGATATGCAGTGTTATGAAAATTTATAAAAAAGCTTAAAATGTTTTTTACGTTTCATTCTAGGTGTGATCCCACACATCCACAAATCTCTGATTGGAAAGAAGGGACAGCAGAAAACAGCTTAGGAACCTGCTCACCCATACTGTCTGTCTGTACCTGGGACAGAGGACGCCAGTGGGATGGTGTGGAATTTTTAAAAACAGTTCATTATGGAAAAGCATAGACAATTGCTGTAGACAAGATAAAAGAAACATTTGTATGTTTTTAGACTCATGAAGTTTTTAATAAAGTTCCTTCCCCTGTGGTCATGGTCATGTGTTGATTGGCCAGGTTCTTCCCTTGTGTTTTATACAAAAACAGAATTGATAAAACATTTTTTACAAAATGAATTTGTCTCAGAATTTCTTCCTGATGTGTTAAAAATACTTTTACACCTGGGCATGGCTGTGTGTGCCTGCAACCCCAGCATTTGGGAGGCGTGGGCAGGACCTCCAGAGTTCACAGTGACTCTTGCCTACATACTGAGTTCTAGGGCAACTAGACTACAAGAGACTCTGTTAAAAGAAAAAGGAAAAAAAAACATGTTTTACTCAGTATTTAAGTTGCAAATAAGTCTTTCAGAATAATCTAAAAAAATTGGAAAGTAGTGTACTTTGACTAGTTCTGTGTTTAATTTTGGCTACAATCAATTTTTAGTAATGTACCATTACTTTATTGCATGTAACCAAGAAAGAAAAAATTTGTGAGCTAATGCCAGCAATTATGAGATAAAGCTTTATTGCAGGGGAGGTAGACAAAGGGGGACATGTGTATTCAGGATCAAAATTGGGTAATGAAATCCGTTGTAATGAAATCCGTTGAACCCTTTACTGGACACTTCCCCACATGTGCCTGTGCTGCTTGCTTCAGTGAGAAGGAATCTTACAGCCTAATGTCCATAGCAATCGAATGGCCTGCTGAGAAGGTGGCTGAGCTAGTAAATAGGACAGGGGAGGCAGGATGGGAGCCTAGACCTTCCTGGCTCCGGAGTCCACACCTTTACCTAGAAATGATGCTGGTTTATCAAACATTTTGCTGTGTCTTGGAATTCTAACTTTGTGGTCTGGTTAATCCTATGAACCCGCAGAACTAGTCTTTAAAGATGATGTCTAAATAACGTAAAAGGATCTAAGTTAATTCACTAGTTAATGCTACAGCCAAAATTTTATTTTTCTTCCATGGAAATCTTTGTAAGAAAGTAATTGATATTTTATGATATAACAGTATCAAAATTATTTTTTTTTTGAAAAAATACCATGGAAATTCTGACAAATACACAGAAATAAAGAGAATACTGTGTGTGACAAATCCATGTATCCCTGTCCTACTTTAGTCTGTGGTCAGTTTTAAACATGTCCCCACCTCTGCCAATGGATTGTTTTGAGTGTGATTGCAGTCTTCACGCCTGTGCATTGTAATCTTACTCAGTTTCTATGAAAGACAAGGTGCGTGTAAGACCGAACAGTTTTAACATAAACCAGTCAGCATTCAGGGTTTCTTGGTTTTCCTGTTTTGTTTTCTTACAGTTTGTTTGAATTAGGAACTAAACAGGAGGTTGAAGAGATGGCTCAGTAGTTCCAGAGGCCCTGAGTTCAGTTCCCAGCACCTGCATGGTAGCTCACAACCGTCTATAGTGAGAGCTGGTGCCCTTTCCTTGCGTGCAGGCATATATGTAGACAAAACACTATACATAATAAATAGATCTTTAAAAAAAGAAAGTCTAGACAAATTCTGTGTCTTTGTTTTATATTTGATTTTTGGTTTTTTGAGACAGCCTCATATAGCCCATCCTGAGCTCACAGTTCAGCGGAGCGTGTAGTGTAAGCTCCTGACCCTCTTTGCTTTTACCCCAATGCTGACACTACAGGCATGTGCCCCGTACCCACTGCTGACACTACAGGCTTGTGCCCCGTACCCACTGCTGACAGTACAGGCATGTGCCCCGTACCCACTGCTGACAGTACAGGCATGTGCCCCGTACCCACTGCTGACAGTACAGGCATGTGCCCCGTACCCACTGCTGACAGTACAGGCATGTGCCCCGTACCCACTGCTGACAGTACAGGCATGTGCCCCCATACCCAGCCAGTGTTTTGCATTTGCATTTTCTTGGTTTCTAAGTTCACTTGTTTAATCTATAGCTTTATTTTTCTTGTGCTTTATTTTTTGAAGAAACACCTCTGTAGAATTGCTACTGAATGCACTAGTACATTTTAAGGGGTAGGTAGGGGAGGCTGTGTTCATGTGTGCGTAGAGGCCAGATGTCAACATCAGGTGAGTTCCCCATTCATACTCTACCTTCCCTTTGAGGCAGGGTCCCCCTGAACCTGGAACTTGCCTATTCAGGGAGCTCTGGGAACCTGCCTGGCTTTGTCTCGTGGTGCTAGGATATTACAGACATGTACCGTTGTGCTTGTGTGATTTTTTTAGCTTGTGTATGCATGCCTGCCACAGTGCAGGTCAGAGGACAACTTGTGGAGTCAGTTCTTCCCACCTTTATGTGGGTTCTTAGAACAGACTCAGGTCATTAGACTTAAAAGGCAAGTTTTTCCCTTCTGAGCCCTCTTACAGTCCCATACTAAGCTTTCTCCGAGGGTACTGGGCATCCAAACGCAAACCCTCATACTAACTGAGCAAGCAGTTTCCAACTGAGCTATCTTCCTAGCCCATTTTATATTTTTTTGTTCTGTGAAAACTGATGGGCTGGAGAGATAACTCTACCAGTTACTGGCTGCCCTACCAGAGGGTCTGATTCAACTCCCAGCACCCATGTGGCAGCTCACAGCCCTCTGTCACTCCAGTTCCACAGCGTCTGACACCCTCTCCTGGCCTTTATGGGCACCAGGCACACAAGTGGTGCACACACATGCATTCAAGCAGAATACCTGTAACACACAAAATATATGTTAAAAAAGAGAAAACGTCCAGTTGTGATAGTGCACCCCTTTAATCCCACCAGGCCAGCCTCGTCTCTCTAGCAAGTTTCAAAACAGGGCTACGCAGAAAGACTTAATCTCAACAACAACAACAAAAGAACACTTGCTATGATCTTGAAGGACCCAACTTCCGTCCTCAGCACCCACATCGGGCTGCTTGTGTTGTTCTTTAGTAACAGTTGTAAGAATAAAAGGTGGAGGAGGGGTGGGGGTGAGTGGTCCCGGGTGAGGGTCCCCAGTCAGTGGGGTCCCAAGGTAAGGGACCACGTGGGAGAGCATAGCAGGTTCCATAGCAGGTGAGGGTGACCGAGGTGGCGGGGGGGGGGGGGGGGCAGAGGGAATAACACAGCAGGCAGATAGAGCTTAAATGAGGAGTTATTTAGAAAGGGGAGTGAGGGGGAAGGGAAGAGACATAGAGGCGCCGGGAACAGAAGAGAGAAGGGGAGAGAGATGGGGAGAGGAGAGGGGGGTAGCTGGTGGCCAACTGAAAGCAGGAGAGAGAGAGAGAGAGAGAGAGAGAGAGAGAGAGAGAGAGAGAGGAAGAGAGAAAACAAAAGAGAGGAAGAGAAAGAGGGGGCGCTCTTGCTTTAAAAGGGAAACTGAGTCCCCTAAGCAGCCCCCTCCCCCGTAATGAGTAATGTAGCGATGACAAGGCCATGCACGTCCACGCATCGTCAGGGGGCGGGGTCAGCAGACTGCTGGTTTCCAACAGCTTGCAACTGCTATAATACTCCAGGGGCTCAAACACCATCTCCCGGCCTCCCTGGGTACCCACACAGAAGGCAGACAGACCACTTGGATGGTTGGTTGGTTAGTTTGGGTTTTCTTTTCTTTCATTTTCATTTATTTTTCGAGACAGGGTTTCTCTATGGCTTTGGAGGCTGTCTGAGGCTGTCCTGGAACTAGGTCTTGTAGACCAAGGGGGTTTTGAACTCACAGAGATCTGCCTGCCTCTGCCACCACAGCCCGGCTGGTTTTGGTTTTCAAGACAGGGTTTCTCTGTGTTGTCCTGGTTGTCCTGGAACTCACCCTGTAGATCAGGCTGGCTTTGAACCAGAAATAATTTTTTTAATTTTGAAAAAAAGATTGGGCTAGGTATAGTGGCACACACCTTTAATCCCAGCACTCAGGAAGCAGAGGCAGATCTCGTTTGAGGCCAGCCTGGTCTACAGAGTGAGTTCCAGACCAGCCAGGGCTACACAGACTGTTCCAAAAAAGTTTACAAAGAAAATTGATGACTATGCTAGATGCAGTGATGCATGCATATAATCTCAGCAACGAGGGCAAGTTAATGAAGTCACAAACTCAGGCTAGCCTGGGCTACACTATCACAGCAACAAAAGTAAAGGCAGTGGTTTGGGATGCTGCCACCCATTACAATTTCTGTCATTCTTTCCCTGGTGTTTTTAGCTACTGTTACTGATAATTGCTCAGGTCTGAGAAACTCCAGTAAGGAGCTGGCAGCAGTGATGCCCTGTTATTGCTTTTGTACTATTAGCTGAAATGCTGCAGTGTGATTTTTGTTTATCAATTTACAATGCAGGTCTGGGTTCAAAGCCCATCAAGTATCACCAAACAGGACCCAAGTCAGATCCTCAGAACCCAGTGAAAACTTGGACTTGATGGGGCATGTTGGTAATCCCAGGGCTGGGGAAGCTGAGCCTAGAGACCCCAAGGTGTACTGGCCAGTTAGCCTAACCTAATCAGCACCTCCAAGTTCCCAGTTTAGACCCTTGCTGAAAAACAACATGGATGGCTTTCCTGAACACCACCCAAAGTCAACCTCAGGTTCACATATGTAATGTGTGCACCCATAATCTGCACACAGACATGTACACACAAAACAATTCCAAGGCAGAGATTTCTCATTTTGGCATGATTTGATTCTGCTGTGTCCACAGGAGAATTTTGTTTTCTAAAGGTAAATATAATAGCTAGAGAACAAAAGGCTTCCACTTACCAGCGTGTGCAAGGCCCTCCTTGAGTTCGGGGTCTCAGTTTAAAAATAGAACAAAAGCTGATCTACCAGTAATGTTTAAAATCTAGTATAATTATGAACCTGTGTTTTAGTTGTACAACAGAGGTCCCTAATGCTTCAGCAAAAGGAAGGGATTTGGGGCATGTGTGTGTGCACATGCATTCATGTGCTTATTTGGTGATAGGGTCTCTGTATAGTCTTGACTGTCCTGGAACTCACAGATACCCACACCCCCTCTGCCAATTCTGCCTCCTGGGTGCCGGGATCAAAGATTTGTGCCACTACATCTGGCTGAGTGTGTTGTTTTTGAAGCTGTATAATTGAAGTTACCTATTAGAATGGGTTGCATTTGGAAACTCTCTAATAGGGTATGACATGAATCAGGTTGGGAGCGAAGAGTAGATAAAAGAAGTTGAGTGTCTTAGCCAGGCAGTAG